CAGCGACGCCGGGCCCGCACAGAGGCACGCCAGCGCGCCCCGCTGCCCGGAGGGAGCCACACACGTTCGGAGCGAGCAGGAGCCGAGGAATCTGAGGGAGGCGACGAAGGCGACGAAGGCCACGGAAGCGCACGGCCCTCCGTGGTCGGCAGGGCGCGGCCACCCACGTGGGCGCTCAAGAAATGCGCGTCGCTGAAAGCACTGTCTGTCAGACAACCAGGAGCCAGCAGGAGCCGGCAGGCCGGGCAAGCCCCAGTGGCCTGGAAGGCAGAAGACCGTCCACGGGGGAGCAGAGACAAGGGAGGGACCGGGCAAGGGGAGGCCCGGACGCGGGAAGCTCACGTGCCAGCCTGGCACTGCCAAGTGCCCCTCTTACCCACCGCGTCTTCATGATTTTCTTCCTCACAAAAGTAACCACAGTGCACAATAAAGAGGCTTTTAAATACCGTGTTTTGCAAAAAGACGCCCTAACAGCGGGAGACGCCCTCAGGGAATGAGAAGACATCTGAGGGGAGCTGGCCGGCCCCGGGGCCTTTCTGGCTGGACCCTCCCAGGCCGCCCAGCCCGCCCAGCCCCAGCCGTGGGTCCCACACCTCTGCCCTGGTCTGCTTCGGGGAGGGGCAGGCCAGGCCGCGGCGCCGCCTGCGTGCCGCTCGCCCTCCTCACCCCTGCTCGGCTGCAGCCTAATGGGCCTGGTCCGGGCGGGCGCGGGCATGAGAGAAACAGCAGCTACCAGTGTGATTATTCTCTTCTCGGAAACACAGCTCACTGCCTCCTAAATCGGTCCACGCAGACCACAGTGGCTGAAGTGCTTTCCTTAAAAATAGCTGAGGATGATTAGCTGCCGGGTGGTAATAGGGGTTTTAAGCAAGCCTCTAAATTAACTCCTGAGAAGTCTGTGCAGAACCTCGGCGCTGCGTCCTCGCTGGCAGAGCCTCGCCGTTCCCGGCAGCACATGCAAATCGGGCACCGCGTCTCGTCCTGCCAGGGTTTGCTCACTTTGCGGGGCACAGGCCACAGCTGAGCAGAGCACCCAGCTCCTGGCCAGCTCCTCTGGCTTCCGGGCCGCCCGGGCCGCCCGACCGGCGGATGCCGGATGCTGGAGGGAGGCTGCCGGCCCAGCACACCGAGCTGGCGCACGGCGGGCTTGGGGTGCGGGTGGGGGCCCCGAGCCAGCCAGCCCCTTTCAGGCTGCGGAAGGGGGCTTGGAAGCCATCCCCCGACCGCTTCCTGAGGGCGCTCCGGGTTCCGCGGGCAGCAGCCGCCAGCCGGCGCCCTACCTTCCTGAAGTCCTGGGCGCCGATCCTGCCGCCGGGGTCCCTGCTGACGGCGAGGAACCGCTTTCTGAACGCGGGGTCCTGCTGCCGGAAGTAGCCCTCGAGCCTGCGCAGCGCCTGGTGCTGGGCCACGGCCTCGGTGGGGGCGCCGTCCTGGGCGGGCTCGGTGCTGCAATGCCAAGCGGCCTCAGCGCGCCCCAGGAGGGCTCACTGCCGGCCCGGAGCAGCGCTGCTCCCGCCGCGCGTGACCCGGGCTGACCTGCGGCCGAGCTCGAGCCGCCGGCCGAGGGTGGCAGCTCCCGACCGCGCACGCAGCCAAGGGGACGAGCTGGGGACCGGGCCGGGGGTGCCCGTCCTCCCGGGTGGCGCTGAGTGGCCTTCGTGGAAACTGCGCCGGGGGGAGGGGACCCCGTGGTGCAGCGGGACCCCGGCTGCGGGGGCGGGGGGTCCTGCAGGTGGGGGACAGCCGCTTCCTTGGGTGTCCAGGAGCCCCCCGGGCCACCGGCTCTCCTGGAGGGTGACGCCCCTCTCCGCGGGCGCGACAGGAATGCCCACACTTGGTGCAGAGCCACTGCCTCGCCTTCCTCGGCTGGCTCTCAGAGGCAGGCCTGTGTCCCCTCAGCACGCCACCGAGCTCTGAACACCATCTCCGCCGTTGACAGAGCGGCCTCTGCCGAGCGCCCGCTGCTCCCACCTCATCAGCACAGGTGAAACCTCGCCACCTCGCGCTCTGGGCGCGGTCACGGGCCTGGCGGCGCGGGGCGCGCTTTGCCCTCTTGCGGATGTATATAAGCCTGAACAGGCAGGTTAAAGTAATGCCTTTTCATTAGCCTATACCTGCATTTTTCAGAATGAAGGACTAGAATATTCATCAGCCCGACTTTGAATGGGCTCACTAAGTAGGCTTTATCGTCACGGGTCAATGTGGCAATCATTTTAATAATTCTATCATTCATGTTAGAAAATGTTAAGCGGTTTATCGGCTGTCTCTGCAGCGAGTGCTGGCGGCCGTGAGGAGCCTAAGTTTCTGGGGAAGAAGCGCCCGAAGGCGGGTGCGTGACTGCGAGCGGCAGGCAGGTTCTCCAGGAGCCCGGCGCCCGGGCACCCGGCCCCACGCCCACGGGGTGCCAGCAGCCGAGGCCGGTCCCCTGAGGCCGCTCGGCCTCCTGCTTCACTTCTAGAATGAACAGGTCAAGGCGCTCGTCCCTGAGGTGCCCGCCTGCTCTGGGATCCCCCGACTCTAATCACTGTATTTATAGCTTGCCACCCTTCTTATTTAAATAATGAAATATTTAAATACTCATTCAGTCAGCAAATATTTACGAAGGGTCTATTCCGGCGTGGGCGCTGTGGTTTAACCTTGCTGTCTCTTACCTTGCAGAAAGACCTGGCTGCGGCTGCGGGAGCTCAGGAGAGGTGGCGGCCGGGCCCGGGACCCCCATGCGGGCCAAGAGCTGCTTGTAGAGGACCCTGCCCGAGGCCGGGTCCTGAGACATGCTGCAGAGTCTGAACGCCAAAATAACGGGGTCACGCCCATGACAAAGACGAGACCTCGCAAGGGACGGCCCCTCTGCCTGCTGGCGTCGGAGCGACCACCGTCCCCCTGCCCAGCCCCCCGGACCCCGGTGCCCCAGGAGTGCTGGTGTGCCCGCACGAAGACTCGGTGTGTGCACCCCCTGGACGCAGCACGCACGGCCAGCCCTGGACTCGGCTCCAACAGCCCCCCGCCAGAGGGTGGGTCTCCCTCAGGGGCCCACACGGCCTCTGGGTGACCGGCGTGGTGGGGCAGGAATGACCCTGGAATCGCAGATCTGCAAGCGCTGAAACCCCCAGCCCGAGCACTCGCCGCTCCTGCTGTCCCTTCTATTTCCAGACAGAGTCCGCACCCCACCCACGCCTTCTTCGCATTTCCCCGGGGCTATCGGTCCTCACCAGCACCCCTGGGGCGCCGCCAGGAACAGTCTTTGGCTTCAAGCACGGCCTCTCCGTGACAGCCCTGAGCCCCCAGGCCACAGTGCAGACTCCCCTCGATGCCTTCACCCCACTCCCACCTCGCGCCCAGCAAGCCGGCCCCGTCCCCGGCACCCCCGGAACCAGGGACGCGTGTGACCAGTGCACCTATCACATAAGACAGCTGTCTGCAGCAGGAGCTGCCGGCAGAGGGGCGCCCGTCCGGGGGTTCCAGTTAGAGCCCCCTGCTCGGGCAGGGCTGATCACCGGGCGCCCGCCCACGGAGAGAGCTCTGAGCATCGTCTCTGAAGGGGCCTCGGCAGAGTTGCGTTTCTCTTACTTCCAGTGACAGCTAATGCCGTTTTGATTTTTTCTACTTATTAACCTAGATTTTAACAAAGCAAAGGAAGTCTCCTGCCCACTGCCTCTGGCGGACGAAGACAGCTCGTTAGGATCCGACCACCTGCTTCCTGCTACCGTCTGGCAGGCCGGGGGCTGTCTCACAGGGACGGAGGGGGACAGGCCACTGTTTCCAAAGTCATATATTTCGGGAAAAAGCAGAGTCCCCAGCAGTCGGCCCGCGGGTACAGCCTGCGCCGGAAGCTGCCCCTGACGGGAACAGAGGCCCCTTCTCTCTCTGGGAGCTGGCCCTGCCCTGCAGCCACTGTCCAGGCCGTGACCTCACCTCAGCCTCCCCCTCCTCCGCCTGCACCGTGGAGGGACGAGGGACGCCGTGGCCGTCGCAGCGCTGGGCTCCGGCTGAGTCCCATGCCGGCTCCCTGCCGTAGCCCGCGGGCGCTCCCGCCACCCTGCGCCCCGAAGTGCCGCCCCTCCCCCACGTGGCTCACATAGGAAGCCCCTGACTCAAGCTGACGGCAGCTTCCACCGACCCAGGCCGTGTCTGTGCC